TGAGTTTTGAGAAGACGTGGTTTCGGGCTCTGCCCACTCACAGGGGGCTCTCTGGATGCACCGCGCTCTCCCAGTGCCAGCTGGGCACCCGCTGTTCCCCTTCCTGACACAGCGCCTGCTCCCCGCTGCACCCTCACTTCTCGGCTCTGATGTCCCCCCAGCCTGGGTCAGGAGCCCCTGCCAGGCTCTCCCAGCCCCTGGACTTCCCTCATCCCAGTCGGGGACACTGGGGCTGTCAGGGCCTGGTGACGGGTCCCTGTGTCACCCTGTGCCTAGAGGTCCAGGGGGTGCAGGGCCGGGCACGTCTCGCTGAGCCCTGAGTGGGCAGCACCCTGAGGGGAACCCGGGTGCTCGGCAGGGGCTGTCGGGGTGCTGTTACTCTGAGACGGTCCACACTCGTCCAGGTTCTCGGGAGTGGGTGTGCCTGGGGGTGGGACCTGTTACCACCCAGGACTCTGGCAGGAGTCCCCTGCTCTGTGCAGCCCACACCTTGGCTGTGGGAAGAGGCAAAGGAGCCTGAGACCCTGCTGCAGGCCTGGGTGGGGGCACTGGCCCTGTTCCAGGCCTGCGTGGGGACACTGGCCATGTTTAGGGACAGCACTTGTGACCACCAGTGAAGGATGACCGTTGTACACGTTCAGGGCCCAGAGGGTGCTGGGAAGGAGGGGTTGGGTGGGATCCACCTGGAGCTGCGTGTGTCCCCGGGGCTGCGTGTGCCTGCGCACGCATCCTGCGGTCTGTGTGCGTCTGTGGCCTGTGTCTGTGGTGGGGGTGCCCAGGTGTGTGAGCCCAGGAGGGTCCTGTGGGGTCCTTCCCCTCCCTCCCCAGGGAGTGGGGCTGGCCCTGGACGGGAGGTTTCTGGCTCTCTCCCAGCCTGACTCCCCTCTGACCTTCCCTGGGTCCTGGAAAACAGGTCTGGTCCCACTTACCCACAAGGAACAGGGGCCTGCAGGGGCCGCGCCTGGGGACGGGAAGGTCCATGAACTGCTGGGGGCCCCAGGGAGAGTGTCCCCCCAGAGCCCACAGCCTCTCTCCTCCCCCCGACCTGCGTCTTCTGAGATGTGCTCTGTCCTGTCCCCTCTTCCTGGTGTTGGTCCTCCCAGGGTGGACTCTGTCCCGCAGGGCGGGAGTCGGGGAGGAGGGCCCCGGGAGGAGGTCATTATCTTTATGGCCTCCTGTTGCCTGGAGCTCATTACTGGACTCTAATTTTTCCTGTGTCTGTATTATATTTAGGACACAGACTTGCTGCTGCTGAGCCAGGAGACACGGAAAAGCACATTGAAGACGAGCAGAGAGCACTTTACCTGGGGTCTCGCTTCCCTTTGGTCTGGGCTTCCTTCCAGGGCTGGGCCCACGTTTTCGGGTGTGTCCTCTCGGGTTCTGGCCGCTGCTCTGGCCCCTCCACCGTGTTCTTCCCTCCCTGTGTGGGGGCAGTGGACAGGTTCAGGGACAGCACTTGTGACTGCCAGGGAAGGGTGACAGACTTCCTTCCCCAGGGCCGTGGGGATGGCTGCAAGGTGTGTGTCAGACACCCAGACCCAACTCAGTGCAGGTGCGTTCCCTGCCAGGGGACCACAGGGTGGGGGTGGTCCCCTGGGTCACCACAGGGCTGGGACGCTCCCATTGCCTAGTGACCCCGTGGCCATCCCACCTCCTACCACAGGGCATTATCCACGTTTCTGGTGGGGCCAGTGTAAACCAGCCCACGCTCCCAACGCCACCCCCATGCCACGTGGGTCAGTGACATATGGTGCATGGTACAGAGGTGACCAACCCTGTGTTGGGGCTGACGTGTTCCCTGTGCTCAACTTCACGTCATCCCTTCAGCCTGCACGTCCACTTAGGAAAAGCTGACTCCCGTGGAAGAGAGTGCCCCTCAAGCCTGCAGCCTCCCCGGCCCAGTTCCCGTGGGTCTTGACCACATCATTTTCTTTCTTTCTTTTTGTTTTGTGTGTAATTTAATCTGATGTTCTGTTTATAGTGACCCTGGAAGTAATAAGCTCCATATATACAATGTCACTTGTTACATATAGTGTTCCTGTGCATGTACATAATGTAACTGTTTGCAGTCTTAGTGTGTCTAGAGGAACTTGTTACACATAATATAACTTGTTTCATAATGTGGATGTGTGTGCATGAGTGTGTGTGTGTGACTAGGCAGGTCATAGGCTACACCATGCACGTGTGTGTGAGTGCACTCTAGGCTGTTCACACTGTAACAAGCTGCCCCAGGACACATTTCCCAAACCCAACTGGGTCCTTAAGCAACATGGGACTGAATGCAAACAGGGTACAGGAACGGGATGTCCCTGGTGACGGATGGTTGTCTGAGACCTTCAAACCCCAGGACTGCACCGTGCAGAGGGAAGTCTGTGGCTATGTTGGTGACTCATATCAGCACCCAGTTATGAAAATCATGAACCCCCAAACCTGGCTCTAAAGCTGCTATGGTCCAGTGGTTACATCTTGCTGTTGTCCACAAACCTAACAAACTCTGATCCTCACAGGTGGACCCCCCGAATCTCAGCAGGCATCATCCAGAGGATGCCTCCACCTTCAGGTACTCATGCTCCTTCCCTCGGGGACCCCCGACTGGGCCTGGCCCACCCCATCCCTTCTTGGATCCTCCATGACTTGGAGTGTCTCATCTGAAACCCTGTCCCTTTAGTCAGGAGTGGTGGCCTCCAGTGACCACCCAGGGACAGGTGGGAACTTGGTGAGAAGCCCCAAGGAAATTTTAACCTCCTTCTGGGGTCTAATGCTGTTCCTTCTTGTTTATCAAAATAGCGAAACGTCACAGTCCCTCCCAGGGCAAAGTGCGGCCCAGCACAGCCAGAGTGGACCTGCTGTACCCCTGCCCCTCCCTGTTATCAGGTTGCAGCTGCAGGAACGGTAACTCGTGATATCTGGGGACAGGAAGGCAGGGGGGTTCTCGCCTCCCCCACCCCATCTGGGCAAGCCCCGTCACCCCCAAAGCCTCACGCCACCAGGTGAAGCCGAGTGTGAGGGGAAACAGCCTCCTTGACCTTGTTGTGCATCCTCCTGGGAGGAAGTCCTCCTGGAGCAGGAATTGGATAAAGATGGGGAGAGTCAGGAGCCCCCCACCAGCTTTCAGGGGAGACGAGGCTCAGGGGACAGAAGAGTAACATCACCAACCACAGCACTAACAGCACAAGTGTGCCCTGTGGCTCTCTTTCCTCCTTAGTGAGACTAAGTCTTGAGGCAGGAGGTCTGTGGCGGGCAGGGTCAGAGCCAGGCAGCAGGAAGCACTGGGTGGAAAAAGAGGATGGGTCCCGGGAGGCAGAGCTGAGCCCTGTAGCCTGGTGGGCAGCAGAGGGGCCCTCACCACAGTACCCACCTGCGTTGGGTGCACAGGGGGCTCCCTACAGAAGGAAAGCTGCCTGACCTTCCTGTGGCCCCAGGTCCTCATCTTAGAGTGGACACCTCGGCCACTACCTTTATAAACCCGAGATCTGAAACCAGGCAGAATAAAGTCAACGACCAGAGGAACAAGAACACACAGCTGCGAGGAAAACCGAGGGGGAGACGGGCCTTCTTCATGGACACCTGGAGTCCAGTCCACCAGAGCCACATCTACCCACAGGTGTCCCAGGCAAGAGATTTGGTGCATTTTTTTTTTCATTTAAAAAAGCATAAGGTCATATTGGACGGGTGACAACTGGGACTTTTGTGAGAACATTGATTCCATGGTGGTGGTTCCTGGACCTGGTGCACACATTGTGGGAGAGGCTGTGACAGCA